TCAATTCATGTTCTCCACATCTGCTGCTGACGGCAGCCCTAGCTGTACTGATTTAGCCTAGTGCTCTGCATGCCAAAGAGCGCTTCCAAAGCAGTGGAAAGATGTGATCTTAGCATGAGCCTGGTAACATCTTCCCAGAAAATGAGAAGTCATCAACTAGGAGTCCACCTAATTAGAATTCTTCAGACACAGATGTAAAGGATTCTGGTGCTCTTTTCTTTGTTTTAGGTCATTACACTCATGGGACACCTGCTAACTTCAGTATGGTCGACATATGCTTAGTGTGATATAATGAGCTACCCCTTTCCATTTGGGAATGTATATTGCTATATTATTGGTGAAAGGTGCCAGACTGATAGAGCCAGCACACAGGTGGCCACTGCCTACTTCCAGAGTAAGAGTACTATAAGCAGCTGCATAGCTGTTGTCTTCACATGGTTCCACCGGCCAGGCTCAGGCCTGCCGAACTTCCAGCCTTGCTCAAAACTACCAAAAATGTTGCCTATTGCCCGATTGCTGTAATTTTGCAAAGAGCACTTGTGAACTGGAATGGGACTTAGAAATTGTTTCATTGAAGAATTCAGTCAACTAGTTACTAATGGTCTGGCCTGCGTTTGAACTAATAAAATGTGAAAAAAATTATCCATGAAAAGAAAATTGGACCCATTGCCCAGGCCCTGTGTCTTTCCCATTTCTGTAGCAGTACAAAGGGGATTTAAAGGGCACTTCTGGATTTCTGTGACAAAAGGGAATCCCCTGCTAGGATAAAGCTGGGATCTTATGCCATCTGATCCTTCTTCCTTTCTCCCCACATTAGGATGTTCTGGGACACATCCAGGGCAGAAAGGGACATGGCCACAGTATAGTGTTCTCTGACAACCCTGAGCCAGGAAAAGGATCCTTGGGGGTGATCCCAGCTGGCACACAGTGATGACCATTTGGCTGCTTTAACTTGCAGTAGGGGTGGTTCAGCCTCAGGCTCAGGCCCGGAATGAAAGGAGGTGGACAGGTGGCTTCCAGCCATGTCTGCCTTCCTCCCCCTTGTGCTTGTGGAGATCTACACCCTGTATTTAAAAAAGAAAAAAAATACAATTACTTCACCTATGTAGAATGTAACTGTGACTGAAGCTTAAGCAGGTGTTTAGAGCTGTCCTTCCGTACAATGTTAAAGAGTAACAGGCAGGGAAGGGGATGGACAGCTTCCTTTGTTACATGGTAGGGCCATCAGTCCACCCTGTTGGTCTGAGCCCTTAATTTTGTAGGCAATGGTATGAGAGTAGTTGGACTGAGGTGATGAAGCCACGTCCGAAACCACTAGCTGATACCACTCTGAAAGTAAACAGAAACTTCTTAAACCAGCATTTGGTTGGTCTTACGATTTCCAGCACGAAACTTGCCCTGCTAAAAGCTTTTTCTCTTCTTCCCCGTGTTATAGCCCTACCTTGGGCAGAGATGAGGCTGGAGCCATCCCCTGGGATGGGAGCACTTCTGTGCCTTCCCAGAGCAGCGACTGGGAATGTGCCAGCAGGGCGCTGGAGCCAGGTTGGCGTGCTGGGTTTTTGTTCAGGTTATGTGAAACGTATCACACAAGTAATTAACGGGTCTCTTCTCTACATTTGAAATTAAAACAGTATCACTTGCACGTACTTTAATTTTAGTTACTGACAACATGGGATTTGTTGAGTAACTCTTGCAAAATGTATGTGCTATCCCACGCGTGGTACGGTTTGTCTGAATCTCTACCAGAGTGTAATGAATTTGTCTCGTGAATGGCTGTTTATGTTTGCCAGGCTGCATTTTTTAGTGCTTTAGCTGCTGTTAAATGCTCAACCCATTCTCTACATGGTGCCAGAACACAGCCTTTGTACTTACCCAGATGCACTACCGCCGCAGTGACGTCTTTGCTTAACTTCTGTGGTTTTTCCATCGCAGCTGTTTTATGGTCCACCTTCAGTCAAACTTGCCTCCTGCCCCTCTGTGCATCAACAAAGTTTCCAGATAGTGCTGGTGTACACTTTAAGGTTAGAGCGACGCAGGTGTAATATCATTAAGAGCAACCAGTTCACTTTGAGCTAGTGAACAGTCCTTGGATATCCAGGATTTTCAACAGTCCCTGGTCCCGTCACGTAGGCCTGCCATCTCTTTCTGGGGGCAAAGCTTTAACTGAGAATCAAAACCCAACTCAAACAAGGTTCAAGACACATTGGCTGTTACTGATTTGATAATATTTATGGAAATTAATGTCAGGCTTCTACAATATGTATAGTTTATAATTACTATTCAGCTCACTGAAAAGGTTAGCACATCCTGGAAAAGTACAGATCGATATGAAAGTTCCTTCCTGTCTTGCAGAAGTGATGATAAAGAATAAATTATTGAAGAAAATTAAGCATTATAATTGGGGAATATTCCCCTATTACTAAGTAAAGCCAGCCATTAGCATCCAATTTGCATTTTATACCATGCAGCAGGAAATATTTAAGTTGACAAATAGGATATTTAATACAGCAACAGATACTTGGCAGTTAGATATTAACAACTGTTACTTATGTGATTTATTCACCATTATAAAAAGGGCATTACTATGTGCATATGATTCAGAAATTAACTCCAGTTTACCAAGAGGCCTTGACTGCCTGACCTCTTAATATCCTTATAATGACGCCATTTACCATTCAAAGGCTTATTCAAGTCACTCACTGCTAGATTTGTTTTAAAGGGGTCCACTGTAGGGCAGATATTTGTGTGCGTTAACACTTCTCATTGGCGTAGTAGGCACAAGCATTTTTTTAAACGGGAAAAACTCATGGGTAAAACTATGTCAGGTTACTGGGGGCGGAGGAGCCTCGCAGAAGCAATTCACGGTACTTCCTTCTGCTACACCCTCGGCATGGACTGGCCTCAAATCCTGCCTGACTTCTACGTGCTTTAATGCTCTGAAATCTTTTTGAAGTTGATATGAAGCTTTTATCATTGCCTGCAAGTATGTCCTGCACATGGGTGGGGTGGGCTTCCCCTCCGCCTGCCTGTGGGACATGTTCCACTGGTGGCCCCATGGACTTATGGTCTGATTTCTTGTGTAGTTATGTGAGTACAAATCTGAATTAGCACCACAAAACAGTGGTGTGAGTGGAAGCAGAACCATGCCGCAAGTCGTATGGTATTCCATGTGCCGAAGTATCCGCTGTTTGATAAGGCCATGTATTGCAATGGGAACGGGCCTTGTTCAACCCCTGTGATGACTGATACACATTCCTACACACGGATTCTGTGCTTCCCTACGCCTTCTACTCAGTTTAGCTTTGCCTTCTGGAACTTCCCTTTTTCTCAAAATACCTTTTCTCAAAATACCTTTATCTCAAAATACCTATTTGTAACTCAAGATTGACTTTATTTGACCTTAATTATTCTTCAGCTGAAAAATCCAGGTGTGATATTTAGTATTTAGATAATTACCTATTTAATGTGATACAGGCTTTACACCTGTTGAGCTCATCTACCTACTTTTTCTAATTGTTGCTAAAATCTTGGTAGTACAGGTCACCATTTTGTCCTTAGCCTTTTGGTTTTCTCTGAAAAGTTACTTTTGAAGTTACAGAAGAATTCTGATTGTTCCCTTTTGGAAGTGGTTTATCGCTGCCAATGATGCACCAGCACAAGGAAACCGTAAGTATGCGTACCAACATGCCTGAAAATAAAGGCATAGATGTTCCTTTACATGATTGCTGAGTTTCACCCTTCTTATTCTCTTTTTTGTTTGTTTGTTTTTAATTTTAATGCACCTGTTTGTGTTTTGATTAGGTATGGGCAACAGACCTTGACCTTTGCTATAGTGACCAGCTGGCCTTGACTCAGCTCATGTTGTACATGACAGACGGAAATCTGGATTGTCACTCTAGCTGCTTTGAAGTATCTCTTGGTTCAAATAAAATGAAAAGCCAACGTATTCAGCATGAGGAGACAAAAACTGTAAGCAGCTATTTGTTTTCAAATAAAATTATTCATGTTAAACTAATGAAAAGTTAAAATCTGTCCCAGATCACTGTTCTCGAGGAGCTGAATCTGCTCCTTTCAGATCTTAAACTGCTACTTTTAGATTTTACAAGGTTAATAAAGTAAACACGATACCATCACGTTAGAAATCAAAGGAAAGATTCTGGATGCTTATGGGTACCTGAGTATTCATCCTTCGTACTCAGGAATATTGATTTGTGGTAATAACTAACTTCTAAGTATTTCAAGTAGTTTTCACGTTGTAAAAAATGTGGTAATTCATATGTTGCAAGAAGAAGAAAGGAGGTGAAAGCACTGCCCTGACTATAGGAGTAACTTAAAAGCAGTCAAGAAAAAATCTGAGCCTTCAGCTCATGAGCACTGATTTGGGATCAGAAGTTAGAGCACTGAAGTTCTACCCCAGCTTTGTACTTTCATGCACAAAACTGAGGATAAAACAATCAGGGCTACATCTGCAGAAGGATCTGGACACCTAAATCGCTCCCAGCTCTCACTCGAGTTAAACCCAAATGTTGGTTCTCAGAACCTTCAGTCAGTTCTGCATTCATCTAACTGTTCAGTATCAATGTTCAGTATCAATGTTCAGTATCAATGTTCAGTATCAATGTTCAGTATCAATTATGGACACAGTCATTTGAACAGGAAAAAAAACTTACAGACCCTAACCGAGGTGAGTTCCCCAAGCAGGAATATGCACACTCTCTCCTGCTTGCTTTCTCTGGACCAGAGTTACAAAGGCCAAGGGGGAGCACCCGACGGCAACACCAAGCAAGACAGCTGAGCCCTGAAGAGCCCCGCTCAGTATTTCTGTTTCCCATTGCCAGGTCAGGTTCAGCCACACTCGGCGTCACATGCTGTGAATTCACATGTGCTCGGCTCTCCGTGGGTGTCGCACACACAGCCAAGGTGCTCAGGATTGTAGGTTTAGGTACCGAAATGAGGAGTGTTGTGGCACTTGCTTCTTGTGGATCTCACCTTTCATCTCTCTGAAAACTCCTAAGATGGTGTCCATAATGGTGCCTCCCAAGAATGTGATTTTAAATAAGATTCTATTTGTGTATTGCTTTGACATGCTTATAAACACAGTTACAGAAGCATGGTTAACTTATGACTTGCTTATTATGCTGCTTTGTTAAATTAGACCAATCTTGGTGAAGGATTTAATATGTCTCTGAACCTTGAGACTGCCCCTCTAAAAAGGACAGAAAGGCCTTTAGAAAAGTCAGAGAATAAGAAACGTACGTATAAGTACATGTATATTTACACATATAGATACAAAACAGATGCCATCTGACAGATTTTGACAGAAAATTCACAACTCCCTTTTTTTCATACATAGAGGAGGAATGTAGCACCATTCCAAAAATGTCATGGAGCTATAATTTAGAGGTTAATGAGCTCTTGATCTATTGTTCCTGTCAAGCAACCACTTTTAGTTGGAGAGAAGTAAATTAGATATGATTAGTCCCAGTAGAACAAGTTTTAGAAATGAAAAGTAATCAAGTAGCAACTTTTTTTTAATTAAAATTCTGTCAGAATTAACATAAATTGTCACCATATCCTTTATTTGTCGTCTTTCTGTATTTCTGAGGTTTTTATCTCCTTAAGAGTTAACTACAAAACCGCACTCTCTCAGGAAAATGTCTTTAGAAAAAGAAACAAACAAACCAAGAGACAAATGCTTTTACAGCACATGATCTGTAATGAATGATTAAGTAAAACACTTTCTGTAAAATTATGATGTTAATAATGATTCTGTCCCTTTTAATTTATTATATATTCTCAACCCTGGTAGGTTTGATTTTGATAAAATGGAGCCGCAACTGAGTTTGTGTGATGATTTTATTTTTAGAAATCCTTCTTTGAAAGAACAAATTTCCTAGATACTGCTGCTACTGTAATTATGTACAAAACCAATCACTCATTATAGTTAGGATACATTATCTTCTAGACAGATGAGGCTAAATAAGCAACACATTAATAATTCATACTGCAGTTCATTATGCATGTGTATGCATGCTTTGTAGCTGAAATAAGCACCTCATCAACCTGATGCCAACCCTTAAACAATAGTTCTGTGTTATTGCAGCCACATTCAAGTTTACGCTTGTTAAACTGCTACTTGGATTATTTTATCAAGCATTCATTTATTTGTGGTCTCCTACTGCAGAGAACAGATTTTGGAAGCTCCTTTTTTAAGTTAATGACTTGAGCAATGGGTGTTATTAATTCTCAGAATATTATAAACATGATTAATTTTCAGGCAGAGATGTATTATGTAAGGATTTCAACTATGTCAACTTAAATGAGTCAATGTCAAAACAAGTATCATTTTAGAAAAAATACTGTAAATTACATGCTTCAACGTGCAGTATCCCACACTGAATGAACAGTCCAGTATTAAAAATAACATCACAGGAAAGCCTTGGTTTAGGAGAACATCTCTATTCCGTTCTACTCAATGCAACATCTCCATTCTTTTGTCCTAAGCACTGATAGGAGTTTAAACTCAAATGCAGTACTGATTTTTATCCATAGCATGAACTCCACTGGTATCAGTTGTATTGCTCCTTGGAGTCACCGGGCCAAGTCTCCTCAAAGACTTGTTGGAAAAATTATGCACACTAATGTTGTAGCAGAATACTCAGTCTTGGAGAAACCCAATTTCAAAAACTACTGAGCATCTGCTCTGGAATTTCTGCTATTGAGAAGAGCTGACTCCAGAAACACGTATGTTACCACAGGACAGGATGGATTCAGAGGATCCACTTAGAATGATTTCACAGGGCTCAGTTACCAATGAAGCTGGGAAAATATCAAAATGTGGTTCATAAAGAGCGAGTGATTCGGTAGACCTGAACTATAATATAAGGTTTTACGTACAGTGTGAGGTGAGGATTTAATTTTGTTGCATGGAAATGTCTATGTTCAATAGACATTGTGATGAACAGGAATTCCTCCAAATGGAGTCTTACCGCACACTGAGTTCACTGAGAAAAAGCAATTTAAATAGTAAATTGTTGGTTTCTGATATAAACTGGTATGAAAATAAAGAATCCAGTGTTGTTTTCTCTAGCCTTCTCCAATAAGCAACCGGTGTGCAGTAGCAAGCAGTCAACTGAGGCACTCCAGCCTTTCAGTAATCTACTACAGCGTTCTCCTCCAGATGTGTAAAGCTCGTGGCATTGGATTTGACCTCCAGGTATGAACGGAAGAGATTAGAAAACGTGATATTCACTCTGCATAATTTTTGTATGTAAATTCTAATATGGTGAAACCACTTAGCACAATGTAAAGTTTAAGTGTTCTGTTTAGCATAATATAATCTTTAAGTGTTCTATGAAAAAGACAGCAAGGTGTTGCTCTACAGTTTTGCTGAAGAGGACTTGGTATCATCAGAATTGATTTTATTTTAAATTGTTTTCATGACGCTAATTAATGAACTCTGAATTGCATAAAGGTTTTCAGTAGTTCCTGCAAAAATTAGTCTAATATTGTAACGCTTACCTGTCAGCTTACTATAGCTGGAGTATAAGTCTTGAAGAACTGCAGTACTGAGATATCTCTGATTTGGCTTAAGACTGGAAGCAGCGAAGGATGAAGAGTACTACAACATGTTCGTGTTACACAATAGGGAGTGAGACAGTGTCTCCCAGAGACTTCGGAGAGAATCCTGTCCTGGCGGGTTTGTTCGCACGGCTCTGTGGGCAAAAAGGATTGTGGCAGTCAGCCAGGAGCTGTGCTTGGGTTTAGGACCACGCCAGCACTGAGTTTTCATGAGAGACTTGGTCATCATGTGGCCCTTTCATGCACCTCCGCACCCATAAGAGAAGATAGACCTTCAGAGGCCAAGAGGTCGGGTGATAATGGAGAACAGAAGGAGGAATGAAGAAATGAAAATGCACTTTGCTAGCAACGGAAGCGCTTAAGGCTTATGAACAGAATTGTAAAAGAATGAAATGTAAACGAGTTTAGAAGATGTTACACGAGACAGAATAGCAGATAGAGATTTCCGATCCTACGGCACAGGGAAATGCAGTGTTTTACGTGTTTTCTCAGTATAGACCCTCCCCAGGGATGACACCTGTTCGTGAGACCTCTCACAGTGACATGCGATAACTGTTGCTCAGCACATCTGAAAATCGAACTGTGAGTTTTGCTGCTGACCAAACTGTCGCCAGTATCAGGCCCGTGATGAACCAGAGCAGAAGGTTAATGAAAGTTCGTGTCTGGTATATATCTAAGGTGGAGTAAAAAATTTACAAACAGGAAAACCTGAACATATTTTCACTCTTTCAAGTGTGTGTAAGGCTTTTAGGGGTTAACCTGTCTCTTGATAAAAATAACTGTGTAAGGAGATAGTTTTTCAGATACTTATGACCATCTCTTCCTAGTTTGGAACAAAAATATTTGCTATTGAATAGACTCTACCATATGTATTCTATTTACATAAAGTTAATGTATTCTCTACAATGTTAGAGCAATAACCTACTTACACTGAGCAATAATCCATTACACACAATTCGAAACTAGCCTTTCTTTATTACAATTATTACCATTTTAAGAACAATTAAAGCACCTTTGTCTTTTTATTTAACAGGAAAAGCAGGGAACAGTTTTTCTATTGTATGAAGATCAGAAGCGATACAGATTGGGAATGATGTAAGTACACACTGTCAGTTCCACAGTCTGATAAGCCGCTGGGAACACACTTGATCTGGAGGGAGCGACACCACGGTGTGTGCTGGCTTGAGCTCTGACAAAGGTCATGAAGGAAACAAACAATCTGAATACCACGCACTCAAGTTCGCTCTACTGTTCAAAAGTGGCCTTTTGAAAAGTTTTAGGGAGGCTTTTGGTAATAAAAGCATTTGGTAATAAAAAAAGAAAAGTACAGGAATCTGCTTAGATCAAAGCCTGACTGTATTGCAGACTACAAGACCTACTGCACTTAGCTTTACAAGAGCTAGATTCATTTCAATAGCAATCTAGCTGTGAAAGCACATGGATTAGCACAGGCTTACTTTTACAGGCAAGATTATTAAAAACCTCACTATACATGATGCAAAGAAGGTTGAAGTTTAATACCTTTTTACATTGCTCTTCACAAAGTGATCAATGGCAGTCAGGCAACAGCAGATCTGAGAGTTTAGTAATTCTTTAGACATATGAGACTCTCCTAAGAAGTCTAAAAAAGCATAATCTGCACAAATCTAGTATACACTGATTGAAAACCTCTCCTTGGAGAGAACATACATAAAGTTTACTGCCAAAATAGGAAATAATGAGTGAGGCACTGAAATGGTCTGTTCTCAGTCTGTTCTGTATTCCTTTGATGCTGGAGCTATTTCATTAATGACCTGGATAAGAAAACAGCTTCCTTGAGTGCTGGATGTGACTGCAAGTATTTCGGAGGGCAGGAACAGAATTCAAAACGATCTCGAAAAATTGAAGAAACAATATGAAAAATAGAATTACATTCAGTTGGAACCAGGTGCAAGAAATTACACTTAGATAGCGGTAATGAATATGAGGAACAACTAGCTTTGCAGAAAAGGATCTGTGAGTTACAGTGGCTTACAAACAGCCTTGCAAGTCACGATGTCAGGATTCTGTGGAAAAAGGTCAAGAATATATCCTGGGAGACGCTGGAAGTAATCCTTCCATTCTACTCGAGGGAGGCGATGAAAATGCTTAGAGTTCTAGAAAGCATGACTTACAAGGCAAGACTAAAGGGGGCGGTGGGGAGGAGGCAGAAGTGAGACCTGCTAACAATCTCAAGCACATAAAAAGCCTCTGCAGGAAAGAAAAATCTGATTTCCATGTCTTTGGTAGTAGGGCAAGAAGAAATGAACTTAACTTGCAGCAGGAAAGATTGGTGTTTAGCATAAGAAAAATTTCTGATAGTAAGGGAAGAACTAATTAGATTGTTTGGTGCAGTCATCATTGACGGTGTTTAGTAACAGATTAGACAAACCTCTGTCAGGATGATATAAGCAGCATTGATCCTGCCCTAGCACAGGGAATGGACTAAATGAATCCCAAAGATTGTTCCTAGGGCTATGATTCTTTCAGCCTGTACTGAGCTCCTCGTGGATGAGGCTGTTGGCAGTACACAAGTGAGTCAGATTTGCTTAAAGCTTAAATATTCCTATACTATACTGCACTCACCTGTAGGCAGCTTTCATGATTGAGCTCTAAGATAAATTTGAAAGAAAATCACTACACAAGAACTTGTAAAATATCTATAGAAGCCATTTAAAAAGTGATTTAGGCATCTGAAAGTGTTCCATAAAGCCACTAAACTCTCCCAACAGCCCACTGATGCTGAAAGGTGAGCTCTTTCTTTCCCTGACCCCAGCTATGCAGCTCTCCTCCCTCCCGACCCTCCTTTTGCATTGTCTCTAGTACTTTTACACCTCTCCTTTTACACCCTGATTCAGCTCAATAACTCAGTAGAAAGCTTTCTTTTATTGGATTGGTTTTCTGTGAGGCTAAGATAGAATCAGTCCATAGAGGGGCATATAGTGAGCATGAGAGTTGTGCAAGGCAGATGGGGAGGAACTGTAGAGGGGAGAAGGACCTGCCCTTTTCAGAGCCAGTGAACTGTTGGACTGGCTGGTCCCTGTTGGTGTGATCTCATTTTGTTAGCCACGGACCTTAGGTTAGAGATACTGCATCCTGTCTACATTCTTGCTAACTCCTTTGGAACAATACATCAGTAGTTGTTCCCCCTGTAAGAAACGTAACACCACCTCTTGGATCATCAGCTTGAATTGGCAGTTATTAATATATTACCAGAGTACTCTCAAATATATTTGCCACACATTCTGATCCCACATTTGTCTTTGATCAGATTTTCAATGCAATTTCATTATCTTAATTTGGAAATATTTTCAAGAATGTAACAGTTTCAGCTTATAAAATCAGTGAAATACCTGAAACATCTATGTGAATTATCATCCATTTTACTACATTGGAGATCTAGTGTCAGTTCCCGTCAGTAAATGAGGTACATTCTTCCTTGGCATAATATCCTGTTCCATAAGATCGTATGTATTGAGAGTCTGTATGTACCACTGAGAAACCAAAGCCTCAAAAGCTACAACAATCTAAGAAATGCTGATACTGCTGAAATTTCTGCTTCAGATGTCTTTCACAAACTGTAGGCAGAAACAACAGCTCTTCTGAACTGAACGAGGTGTTTAAAGTGTTCTACTGTCTCAGTCCTAACTCAACGGTAGCCTTTTACTTGGAGTAGCTGAAACCTTACTGCTTACTTCTGCTAAGTTGATTAATAAAAATTATTTATTGCACAAATCCTTTCTGTTGACAAGTTAAAATGGAGCCTCATCTTTCATATCTCCCTGAAGATTGCCACCTTGTGAGATTGAAAATACTCATTAAATTCCATCACCAGACAGGCACAAATGAGAGGGTGATTGTTTTTAAGCATGTGAAGGGAATCATTGGTAAACTCATTTGTTTGGATATCATTAACAGAACAATCGGAGAGGATCTCCAGGGGGTCCTCATGACCTTTGCTCGCAATCTCTTCATCATCCATCAAGAAATATCAGCACCTAATATGCAAGGCGAGACCAATTTTAAGGTGAGGTGTTAATTAACTAACGATCCTGGTTAATTTCTGTACAAGGGCTGAAAATACCTCATGCTGTATCATAAACAAGTGCTAAACCATTTCTTTTTTATTGTTAGCGGTATGTATTTTACAGTGTCTAGGTCAATATAGTAAGTCTCCCAATGAACCTGTTAGTTAAATTTAAGTTTGAAACTTTTTCTTTGAAAAGAGACATACTTCAGTGAAATTATTTGTGACGTAATGCTCCTAATTGTCCGTTGTAAGAAGCAAAGGAGCTATTGGCAGTGCCTCAGACAGTTCTGCCACAATTGTCCCTTTTATTTTAGAGGGACACCATCAAGGTAGGAGTCTTAAATCAGAAACAAACTTCTCGGTTTACAATAGCTCCTCAGATTATTAACACTGGTTTCTTTTAAGCAGGCAGCCAGTGAGTACTTAATCCATTAGTTCACATCTTTCACCCCGCCATCAATTTCACAAGTCAATTTTGTTCCCAGTTTTCTCTGCTCTTCGAACCCGCCCGCAGCGCCCATCCCTGTGTGCCAGAGGATGCTCTGGGCTGGTGCGGGGGGAGGCAGGACAAAGCGCGGGGGCTTGTTATGCTGGGAATGTTCCCCCAGGAGTGCCCACCTTTACTCGGAAGCTCCTCTGTGACGACCTTGCTGGCAAAAGGAGACAGTAAAGCAATAATGAATCCAACCCCGTGCCCTGAAACAAGCACTCATTACAATGCTGCTTTTTGATTCCAGAGAATAGCTAAACTTTCCGGAGGGAGTTCTTTTGCTAAGCTATATCACCTTTGACTTTATAAAAAGTTTCTAAGATCCTGTCTGCAGGCATTTTGTAGAAAGGTGAAGGGGAGCACTGTGTTACAGATTTGTATCTTAAATCACATAACATAATTTATATCTGATTCTTTCCAGCGTTAACTCTGACTATATTTTCCTCTGGCAAGCAGAGTGTGAAATAACAGTTTTAGAGAAGATATAATCAAATTTCAATTACAGAATAAACAAACAAACAGCCCCCCCCCCTTTTTTCAATATGAGGGAGTGAAAAGCAACCATTGAAGAAAAATATAAAAGGGAACTCTTCTTCATAGTGAGTTAACAATGATTTACATATGTGAAATAGAACACCTGTTAGTTAATTAGAAGTACAAATTGCAATAAATTGTGTTTTTTATTTACCTGAGATTTGTACATATTTACTAATAATTCCCCCAACTGTCCCCACAGTAACAGTAACTTTAATTGGTGCATCATGTCCTGTGTAACACTGGTTACCTTTTCAAGGCAAGTACCACCAGCTGTGCATTTTGGCTGCTAGATTTCATTATAATGCCCATTAAATAACTTGTATTCCTTGAATCTGTTACAGATGGCAATTCAAGATATTGAAGCAATTCTAGGAATTACAGCAGAAAACAAACTGAAATTGGAAGAAGAGCAACCTTCGAAAGCAGATGCTCTGAAAGAATAGTTAACGGAAAATGTTTAAGTGCCTTATTCTTTATGCTTCTGGAAACACTTTCTCAGCTGTAAGAACAGGTTTGGTTTTCCTTCTGCATTGGCATGTGAAGTAATATTAACTGAGACAATACATTTCCATGATTTCCGAGTGCGGTGTTTAGAAGAATATCCCTTCTTTCACAAAAATAAGCAGAGGATCATAATAAATTCCCCTGATGTTCATACTGTTGTTCCTGAAGCACATGATCTGTTTTTAAAATCTTATTAATAGAATACATAGAGGGATCACGCTGTCTTTGTCACTGAATCAGACTAGGAGATCATACTCTATTGAAAAGTCCTGTGACCCTAAGTTCCCTTTCAAGCCTATTGCCTTCTAAAATACAGGCTTCTGACATGAAAGTAGGTCCAGTGTTCTGCCTATAAATAAATACACTTAAATGCCATCTTATCGGTAAGCCCAGCAACCCAGATTCCTCCTCAGAACTGATTGTCCGTATTGTTATCATTCCGCTATTTCTTTTGTTATCTACAGATTTTTGCAGCAGTTATGTTCACTTTCCAATTATCAAAAATAATAGTAATAGCACTAGTTCAACAATAGATTCTAAGAGGACCATTAGAATTGTACTATGATTCCCAGTATACCATGACTTTTGCAGACCTATCTGTCCATCAGATAGATTCTATATTTCAGATACTGGTGACTTTTTTTGTCACAATTGCTGTGCACGGTTATGTTAAAGGACAACAGTTACATTTGTAAAATTATCTTTATTCTTCAAATCTCCAATATCCCAATAGATGACACATTCTAAATTTTGCTATGGAAGAGCGCATCTTCTCCATTGGAAGGATACAATTGTCCCAAGCATGGCAAGTATCTTCGAGATTACTTCCCAAAAAGCTCAGGCAAAACCAGTTTTTGAGACAAATAATGAATGTGACCAAGCAGCTGCAGCAGATCAGTGCCCAGTTTTTCTGATGCCCGAGTCTTTGATCCATTAGCTTCATACATTACCTTTTGTGTTAGCGGCCTTCTCTTCTGGTCACAGAAGTAATTCATTGCAGATGAGAACGTTTGCATAAATGCAACAATGATCTCTCACTTGCCAAGAAATAATATGCCAAAAAGCGCAGTATACTTGCTTATTAGTTCTTCTAACAAGATAAGATGTATTTTGTTCTACTTTGAGGGGCTGCAGAATGGTATGTTGTTCTGACTTTTTCCTCACCACGTTTATAATGCACTCCCTCCTATTTTACTGCTAAGAAGCTCTTTGTGGATTTCTCACCTAGCTTCATACCCAAGCTATGTAATGTCCCAGTTTGGTCAGTAGAAGCAATATCCTGGGGGAAAAGGAGGTGTAGGAGAGTACGGCAGTATCAACCTAGGAGTCAGCTAGTTTCTTAAGGGTTAAGGAAAATTAAGCCTTGATCCAAGCCAGAACAATATAAGGTCTGAGAGGCTCATTAGTTCACTGGCACTTAATAGACTGCAGTGTCCTAGGAGTAAATGAAACCTGCACTTCCTTATGTCTTTGTTCTGTTCTGACAAAAGAAAACTGTACCTGTTTTTGCAGGGAACAAGTGATCTGAAAGTTCCCATGGTGAGAGAGATTTCTCAGTATGTGCAAAGTGTGAAATGTATTTTGAGGAAAAAAAGTTTTTAATTACTATTAACACTTCTGAGTGTTGAGCTGATGGAAGGATTGAAACTGCTTTACAGTCTCTCACATTCAACTCCCATGCTGCTGGTGCCAAAAATGTATTTTTTTAGCAATACAGCAGATATAAAATTAAATTATAATCTTTATTTCTGACTTTTTTTTTTAATAGTCATAATAGAGTTCTTGAACTGTAGCTTAAATTTTAGCACTATTCAGAACATGATCTGGACTGGGAAGAAAACAGAGCAAGTGGGAATTGAAAGATAAAAGGTGGCCCAGGTGTGGCTGCTCATCAGAAATTGTCAAAGAATTCTGCAGCTAATGACAGCAGAAGCCCAAGCCGGCTCCCCAGCTGCAAGGTGTGGAGGAATGCTTGTGGAAGGAGAGGAGGGGCAGTGGGGTTTGGCATCAACTGCAGAAGATGCGGACAATTAACATAAAGGTTTCATGCTCCTGATGGGCCAGAGCTGCAAATGAAGATGTGCATTCACCTGACAGCACTTCATGGATCTTCTTTTTGCAAGAACTGACATACTGGCTGTAGCACATGTGCTACCCATTTCAGGTCATTCTTCTGAGAGAACATTACCTGGAGTTCATACTGGAAACTGGGTCTCGCTTTTTAGATAGTTGGGTTTAAAGCCCTGCAGAAAAAGGGCATTCAGCCCAAGTTTCCACATTCAGAACGACAACTCTGAGCACAGAGCAAAAAAGCAGTTCATCAGCTTCCAGATGTCTTCTGAAATAAAGTATTCACCCTACCCCTTTCCTGAAAGATCTCTGATACCTCATTCAAGTGGATAGGTCAGGAGAATTTACCACCTTCCATCTAGGTTAAGGTAACAAATCCCTGGAATTTTAAAACTAACCTGGTCCTCAACATTCCACAGTGATTACCTACCATCACCTCCCATTTAACAAATCCCCTATCATAGATTCTCTGTATTTCATTTTAGACTATGGATTTTGTTACAGCAATGAGGCACTAAAGATTACGTACTACAATTGTTGACAACCATCACGAATGTAATTTAATATATCATTTCAACTGAAGAATGGTTAGACTGGTTTTTAGCTTCATCACAAAGATGTGCATTTCAGGAGACTGTTTTGATATACAAATGATCAGACTATACCAGAATCCAATGAACACAGAGACCTGAACTGCACAACCAAATATTATTAACCGAAGACATTTGGAAGAACGCTTCATAATACTTCCAGCCTCATCTTTAGGATGTTTGGTCATGATCCTTGCATACTTTTGAAGTATGCAATGTTTTGCTATGCATTTGTAAATACAGATGCTACTTCATTCCACTTGTAGTACACATTGTACAAACAGAGGTGCATCTGTTCTCTTAACCAGTGCAAGGTTATGCTGCCAGAGGCCGATGGATTTTTCCCTTCTTGTACTTTTAACAATAAGAGCAACATGAAGTTAACAGCAAAATATCTTGAAATAAATACTTTTAAAAATCAAAGTAATTGTGGTATGTTCATTTTATAGGCAATATATACTTACTTTTGATGATGAAATGTAAGAGCAAAATATCACTGTTAAGATGTAATACATTAGTTCAGCCCTTCACCATAGTGAGCCACAGTATCAGATTCCAATGTCTTTTCTATCCTCATTGTTGCCACTAATAAAGATATTAAAGCTAACTATATGCTCTATTAATTATAGGAAGGTGAACTTGAGTCAAATTTGTTACTGACGATGATTAATAATTACTGGGTCTACACACATGTAGTACATTACAGTAAATAAACAGGGTACATTGTTGGGTAGTAATTGATTAATTAGCACATTCATACTACATAGCTCAATGGTTTAAGATTGCTGAGTTTGAGATATTGCTTGCAATTATTAAAAGGAAAAATCTGTTCCCATTTCTCAGTCTACTCTTCTGTACAGTCTTTTTTCCTCTAATAGAATGTTCATTGGTTCAAAACCTTAGCTTTTATTTAGAAAAATTGTATCATGGAATACTGGTTATGATTTTAAAACATTTCTCTTCTAAGGAGTCTAACACTTTGAAAGAACTACTTTTAACCTGACATGACTGTCAAATCGCACGAAGTAAAATCAGTGCAGCTCAATACATTTTTTTTTTCCTGAGCGCACGTTAACCTGGTTGACGCTGCCGCGGTGAGCTGTGCCAGCCACGCGCAGGGTGCTCCCCTCAGCACGCGCGCTGTAAACAAAACCGTTTCTAAAAATGTAATTGCCGGATTCTTTGTGACATTCTCACTCGCCGCAACGAGCGTTACCGGGCGCCCCTCTGCAGGGACGACGGCCCCATCTCCCGCGCTGTGTCGGGCGGGACGACTTACTCCCCTCGCTCCGCGGGGCTGCCT